TTTAGAAATTTATGTCCTAGTTTGGTTTTAACCATTAGGTTGAAAAGGGGAGTAAACTAAATGATCTTCCTGGATCTTCTTTTCTTATTGTGGTCATAATTAATAGGATTTCTATATTCAATAGTGGTACCCTTGTAACCACTATTTGTAAGTACTATCTAATAAGTCATGTGTCTTGCCTTAATTCCTTTTCCAAAGATTTTTTTTAATGTTGCTCAAGTGAAAAAAAAATCTCTTGATGAGTGACTTTTTATTCTAAATAATTTGAAGATACATTTTATCATCAGATTTTATCCAAATTCTCCTGTTACCTTTATTAGTTGTGTGTGTGCATGCATGCGATGGGAAGTGAACTGAAGAACACTGAATCGTTACAAATTTCTAACAATTGAAAGAAATTAATCTCATCTGGATTTGTCACAGTTTAGACTTTATTTTGTCTGCTTTATATCATTTATCTGATTTTTTTTAAATCTTGAAAACAGCTTAAAAAAACAAACCCTGGGGGTCTCATATATGAAGTTATCTTGTAGATTAAATGTTTACCCAGATGTTGTAGATTACCAGTACTTGTACATAATCTCATTTTATAATATAGAATTAAATGCAAGTGGTAGATACAATGTCATCTATGTTATCTAATAAAGTAGCTCTGAGAGCAGACTAAAATTATAAAAATTCAGAAAAAAGTGGAATTATTTTTCATTTTAGAAATTATGGTAGCATTCATCTACAATTTCACATTTCTACTTTCCTGCACTTTTTAAATTATTTCTCTTTGTTACCACTAAAGATCAATAATATATCACTTCCTAATCTGAGAACATCCTAGCCTGTAATTCTTTTTTGTCATTTAATATTTAAAATACATTTTTGCTTACAAAAATTAAGGATTTTACGACATATATAAATGAAGTGGTTGACAAGTTTGAAAAGGTGTATCCAAAATATGCAATTAAAAAAATATGTAAACAATTATTGCCTCAGAATCTTAATGTTTTTCTTCTAAGGTGTACAAGTTTCATTAGGAAACAAACTGCCCTTCTGAAGTAGCATACTTAATACAAAATCTTTGATACATAATTAAAGTTGTAGGTTTACTTAAGAAGTCTTATTTAGACTCGTATTATAATTATAGTTGAGCCAATGTGTTATAAAGTTGTTCCAATTTCATATATTATGATTTAATTTTTATGCATATGAATATTGATAAATTTAAATAACTTTTTAAAATGGTTTATACATTTTAAACGTAACTTGGTTCAACTTTAACCAAAACACAATTAAATGAATCAATGTTTCTTTGTATTTTGACTACAGCTTTGCATTGTGAAAAATGTTGATAAGACTTTTTTTAGTCCATATTCTCATTTCATTGGTCTGAGTTATCTATCTACACTGGTATTTGGTATTTGCTATCTACCCTGCTATTATTGCTTGGCATGGATATAGTTGCTTACTCCTCTCAAGGCAATTATACATTAATCTACTTATAACCTTGTAGATAAAAACATTAGATATTTATTTAATTAATTTTCTTACCAATTATTAATCATTTATTAATTATTGACCCTGTTTTTTATTCTTTGCATTATTGTCTGTATCTTTTTGTATTTTTGCTGAATGTATTTGTGATTTTCTTTTTGTTGTTTTTAATGAAGTTGTCAACTTGAAAATAGTATAAATTTGTTTGCTTTTATTTGTTGTTGATAGAAAAAGGAAGAAGTCCTTTTTGAATTTCTCTTTTTGTCTGTTTTTGAAATTGAGCCACTGACCAATTCCCAGCAAGTTTTTCTTTGTCAATATAGTTTAAAGTAGAGTTGATTATGTTCTTTCCTATTAAAAACAATGGGGTAAACTTGCCTGTATTGCTCTTTTAGTCATACCAATGAGAAGTGTTTAGTAGAAAGTACAATTGAGATCAAATACAAGATAACTTGTGGAAGAACAAAACACTTGATGGAAAATAGTCACTTTAAAAATTTCCAAATCTAAGATAAAGCTATTATTGGTGCTTGTGAATTATTCTTTAATAATCGATTATCTGTTTTACAGCTGGGTGAAAATTAAAATGCTCTTTTTTTTTTTTTTTTTTTTTTTTTTTTTTTTTTTTTTTTGAACATTTGAAAAAAGATTCAATTTGAAATTGATTGATCAATTTTTTTTTATCTCAATATAGTTTAGCATTCAAGTTTCTAAATTTTCATATTCCTCTCTATAGTAATGCTTCAGTCATAAAATAACCTGATTAACATATTTTGTTTTTAAACAACTGTTAAAAGCTATCTCACCTTTTTATTTGTTTTGCATGTGATGACACAAGTTTTTTTTTTTTTTTTTTTGTCTTTCTTGCATATGAAATTAAAATTACTTTAGTTCTGGTTTAAATAATAATTAACCAATAGTTTATGTAAATATAGTTATGAAAAATTTGCTGGGATTTTTAAAAATGAGGATTGTTAAACTTGTGTGCTGATTTTGGTTTGTTATATTCACGTTATTTCAGCCCTTGCAGTTAGTCATACTGTCATGAGTCCTTACCTATAACTACAGAATGAACTCTTCCTAACACTATGTATACTACGCCTCTCAAGAGAGAGGGTCGAATCGTGTCTAGCTGATAGTAGTTCACTCCAAACCAGACTGACAGTCATACTAACACCTTCCACATCTTGTATTATTATTTCGTGTAATATACCTTCATTATTTCTACTCTTGTGTTTGTGTTGTTCTTCCTTGGTCCTAACCTGGACCATAACATATACTAATGCAGTTGTGGCAAGGAATATAAGGCTGATACCAGTTGCTGTTAAAGTTGAAGGAACATGGCTTAGTAAAGTGTTGGTTAAAGCATATCTGATTTTATGGCAGTCATAGGTTTAATCCTTGGGTCAGGTAGTTCAGAAAAGTTGTAGACTCTGGTTCAGTGAAAGAAACCAACAATCAACCCAAAGGCAAAAGATTAGAGAGAATTAACTGATATGAGATATTTCCTAAGCGTGGAAAGTAGAATAAGAATAGTATAATCCAATGAATTAAATAAAAGATTCAGTTAAACAATTTCAAGAAGGCAGATTATGGCAGATACTTGAAGACGTCCAGATGGTACAATGGCTGAAACATTGTGAATATAACAACCATGATGTGCTTGTTAGACTAAAAAAATAATTTTGCAAAGATTTGTTAAATGTTGTAAACACTTTTAATTACTCTGTATATATAATTGATTTTGAATTGAATTTTTTAATTACTTGTTGGTCACAAACTAAAATTTAAATATTAATTACCCAGAGAAATTTCAATAAGAAGTGTTTAAAAAGAAAAAAAAAGACCCTTGTTGGTATCAGTTTTTGATAGAAGAGCTGCCATTTTATTAAATTTTTTTTTTATTTCTCTTGACACTTTTTGAATTTAGAATTGGGAGGAAAAAAGATGTTTTTGTTATATACTTTGGACAGCTCATAGATCACGTGAATATTGTAGAAGCCATTTTGGCAAATATTTTGTAAACAGGGAAACTGCTTTAATTCTCATGGCTTAATACATTATTTGATGTAAAAAAATTCAATTGATTCATACATTCAGTCAGTCAGTTATGTGCCATACATGATACGTGCTTAGGCGATTATGTATTTTTCGATACATGACTGACGAGACAGATTTTTTTCCCACAGTAGGTTGCCATTTCTTTCTGTGGTAGACTAGTTGCCATCCAAGGTCTGTCCTGCTATTTATTTTAGCTGGGGGTGGGGGCAGAGATTCATACCTTTCCCATTATTATCATGTAAGTGAATGTAATGGATTCAACTGGAATTTGAACTTGGCTCTCTGATTCCTCAACCCACGCTGCTATCCATTACTCCACTGTGATTCTAAATTGTAGATAATTGAATGACAAAAGGGAACAAATCCTGTAACATGTTTCATGCTTCAAAAGTACTTCAGGTTAATGTTTGTTTTTGTTTTTTTTGTTTTTTTATGAAATTGTTTGTAGGTGAATGGGAATAAATTCAACAAATGTTGGTTGTAGTTATACATTATGAGTAATGCTGAAAATCAGAGATGTATAACTTTAAATCTTAAAATTGATGCATGACCTAGTCAATGTCATTCAGTTTTATTTGTATTGTTTTTGTTTTTAAATATCACCCAACATTGGAATAGCGATAATTTTGTTAAGAAAGGTGATATACTGTATGATCCTAAAACAAAAATAAAAGCCAAAGGATGCTGAATGATGTTTGTCTATGTTGTGCATATAAAAACACATTGAGCAGCAGAAATTTAAAGTTGAGCATTTCTGCTTCTTACCATTTCTCATAATGCATGATTATAACCAATATTTCTTGTATTTCTTTCTGTTCCCTTATCTATCAATAAAACCATTTAATCTAAAAAAGTCCTTTCAAAGGAAGAAATATGTAACAGAATTTTTCCATTCTTTTCATTCAATTACCTACCATTAATCTGTATAGAGTTTTTGTCTATCATATTTGTCTATGCTAAATTATTTTCGAAAAATCCTTTTATAGTTAATAAATTCAGATTCTTATAGGGAAACACATATTTAGAATAATTATGCAACTGTTTTTTTTTTTTGTTTGTTTTATTTCTATTTATATACCTTTAAGTCAATCAGGGTTGATAAGTCTTATTGCAAGATTCATAACTTTCTACTTTTAAGAAACTGGAAGCACATTATTATTTACCCTGCAAACAATTAGTAGTCATTATTTATAACTCCCCTTAACTTGTATTAACTCATAAATTTTACCTAATATTTGATCTTATTAACAAATATATTGACTTTTATTTTGTTTCATCAAAATAATTATGAAATTCCATTTTCTCTTTGGTCATCATTTCTTTTACAGTTGAGTTTTTTAATCATCAGTCTGTAAATTGTTATTTTTTTATGCTTAATATATAAATCTTTCATGAAAATGTTACCATTGTTTGCTTGTGTATTTGTTTAATTCTTATTTCTGTTGGTCATTTAGGAAAGAGAGCTGAAAAGACAACAGGCTGTTATGATGAGAGAACAGGTCAGTCTGCATTCTTTTATGGAACATTTTAAGGTGGATCTAAAGAAAAGGGAAATGTTTCATTTTCTTGTTTTTTTTTTGTTGGTTGTTTGAAAAAGAGGCTTACTAATATTTTTCTATTGTTGAATATTGTATCATTTATTTGTTAAATTGGAGAAAAATGAAAATCACTGTAACTTTTAACAGTTTTATATATTTTTCTATTATCTTATGAGTAAAACTGTATTTAATGGCAAATCTGTTTTGAGAAGCTCCAAAATTAGGAGCATGTTAGAATACATATAAATAAATAATTGCTTCTATGAATCCATGAGTTGTTTTTTTTTTTTTTTTTTTTTTTTTTTTTAAAGAAAATTGAGCACTTTTTATATTTTATGTTTTTTTCATATTTTGTTAATTTCTGTTTACAATTCAAAATTGCCCACATCTCTATAAAAAAAATATATTGAGCAGGCATTTATCATAATTATTTTGTGGACCTTTTTTTTTTTTTGGTTTCTATTACTTAAGCAAGAAGAATTTAAAAATATATATATAATATGGGTAAAGTAATTTTATGTAAAAGGCTTTTTTCTTTTTTTTTCAATTAAAAAAATACTTAATGAGTGGGTCCATTTTTTTTTTATTTGTTTCTTTTTCTATAAAGAAATTGGGTAGAATTAGGTGAAAATATGTTGCAATGAAAAAGTTAGTTGATATTAATGAAAAATGTATTTGGCAAATATTTATATTTTTTGATTTATCAATATAAGCTGTAAAATATCAAAATGACAGCAGTAAAAAATTTACTATCAATTTCAGACACATCCGTTTATGTCTTTCAATAAAGGAAAAGTGTATTTAAAATATCTTAATGTGATTTTTCTTCCATGGAACCCATTTACTACTTTCTCTGTTACTTATTTCTTCTCTGTGGCCCTTTTTGCTTCATGTATACTGAACTATTATTATTATTGTCTTATTAATGACAGCAGGAACGTGAACGTCGACGACAACACATGTTGCTAGTAAAATCCTTGGAAGCTCGTAGACGGCAAGAAGTAAGTAATTCCTGTATCAAATTAGAAATTCTTATTAAGGGATGAATTAGTAAAAGAAAAAAAAATGTTTTCCTCTATGTAAGTATATAATTATTATAAATTTTATTGGTATTTCTAAAATGAGAAACTTTTTAGTTTTCTTTGTGTCAATGTCATACTTTTAATCTTTTTTCTAGTTTACATGTAAACTTATTTTTGTTAAGATTAATTTCTAAAAATGATTAGACAACTTTTCAAAGGTTTCTTCTATTTGAATAGTTTATTTGAATTTTCATCAAATATGGTTTCTCTTGCAGTAGAAAATATTTTGCATCCAGTGTCAAGTTTCCATAATGTCAAATTCAATGCAAAGATTGGTATTTTGGTGTGTAAGCTAATGATATCTTTTTATTTATTTTGTAACTTAAATTTACAAGGACATGGGGATTGGGTGAGAATTCAGAAAATATGCCACTGCCTCCTTCCAAAAATGTCAAGAGTTTGTGCCATTTTTACTTATAATATTTGATCTATGGTAACATTCAATTTTTTTTCTCTTCCATTAAACAATAATTGGTAAACATCTGAGAAATGGTTGGTGGGGAAATAACCAAGAGAAATGAGTGAGATGAGAGGCATAGAATATATTTCTCTTTTTAAACACATATCCTCAATAAAATCATCTCTTGTTCCATGTAAATTCATGTATTTTTTAAAGATTATAAAATTGTTAAAATAAAGGTTTCACTTTTTTCTTAGGGTAGTTTTGAAAATTAAAATCCTCAGAGACTATAAAATGACTCTTTGGTTTAATGAATTTTATAGTTTGACATGTATATTGAGTCATCACAAGTGTTATTAATGTGTATATATATATATATATATATATGTATATATATATACACACACACACTTCTTGCTACTCTGTCATCAATCCATTTAAATCTTTCATCTTGATACAGTTATTGTAATACACAAAATGTACTCCTGGCTACTTTAATTCACATTTAATACAGTCTTACTCTTTAAAATTTTCTGAATTTATCTGTTCTTATTTTTTTTTTACCATTTATCATGTTTAAGTTATTGAAGAATCTTGGTGTTTATGAACATTTTAATATTGGTTTGATTTTTATATATATATATGTGTGTGTGTGTGTGTGTTTAATGGTAGGGCAATAAAAATTTAAGCCTTTAAAAAATAATAGTGTGAGAATTTTTCTTAAACATATTATTAGATACATTTATGAAAGAAAATATTTGGTATCTTTTTCAAAAAAATATTGACTATTCTTATTTTTTAGGAACGTGAACGACTAAAAGAAGAAAAACAGAAAGAAAAACAAATAGAAAGAGAAAGGAAAATGGTAAAAGTTTTTTCTTGTTACTCATGCAGTTCAAAATGTCTTGCCATTTCCTATTTATAGTTTTCACAGTCATGTTCTCTTTCAAAGTGAAAATTTCTTATTATGCACAATGGCTTGAGACATGTGACATATTTTATTCTTATCAGGAATTTACACAGGGTTTTTCATTTCACATACTATCCATATTTATTTTAAGTCAGTTTGGTTATTTTCTCTATCCACCTCTCTTTGCCCTCCTGTTAAAAAAAGTTACTTTTTAATTCAAATCTTCATCAGGCACTTAAATAAGAAATTCATATTCTTTATAATCATTGCATGAAAATGATTTTTAACTCTGATTTTGTAATTTCAACATTTTAAATATAAGAACCAAAGTGAATTCCCTTAATATTAACATTATATAAAATTGCTTAATTTCTCCAAATTAACATGATCATTTTAGTTCTCATTTTAATGACAAATACTTTTTTATCTTTTGTTATAAATTAAAGGATTAAAATAATTAGAAAAAGTATTTAAACTTAACACAAGGCTTTTTCTTGTTTAACATTCATATTAAGATTTAACTTAAAAAATGTATAAAAATGAAATAAATAAAAACCTCAACTAATTATGTCAAAATGGTAATTAGCTATTGATTTCAGAACAGACATACTTAAAAACTTGGTTATGTTCAAATATTTTTTCTTGCTCAATAAATATTGATATTTTTTTCTATTCTCCATTTTTCCTTATCCTTGTTATTGTGACTAGTTTCCACTTTGCATTCTCATTTCATCCATTTTGATTTACTTCTCATGCAATTTTATCTTTGTCCTTTCTTAACCTCATTCCTTTGTCTTCATTCTTGTTCATCTCTAATATCATTCCTATTCTTTTTGAACAATTACATGAATGATGTTGTCTTTCTTGCCTTTTGACTTCTCTTTGGAAATAATTTCTTCATTTTGCAATTTAGACTTATAAAGGACATTTTTGTTTTCCTTAGTTAAAAGAAAATATTATCCTACACTGATGATGACAAAACATCATTTGAAGCTTTTTTTCAAACTTTTCTTCTTGTTCCTTTTTGCAGAATCAACGAAGAGTTGAGTTACAAATTGCAGCTGAACTCAAGAAACCAATTGAAGATATGGAGATTAAAGATATAAAGGTGACTTATCACAACCTTTTTTTCTCTTTTCCTGTTGTTTCTATATTCATTTGTAACAAAGATAACTAAAAATTCTCAAATATTGTAGACTAATTCAATGGTTACATTTTAAATAGATTGCTATTTTTTTAAATGTTTAAAGCTATTAAAGCTTTTGTTTTTTGTCAGAATATCATCTGTTAGTGTAAATATATTGGCAGATTTTTGTTTCAGGTTAAATTGCTTGTTTTCATCATTTTGCTCCTTTCTTCATTCTTTTTAATATATGCTTGAAAAGTAGATTAAATAAAATTGCAATTGTAAATAAATTTATCAGTACTTAAATATTTTGTTGTTTTTAAAGTTAAAAGAAAATATTATTCTACACTGATGATGACAAAACATGATTTGCAGTTTTTTTATTATATTGCTTTTCAGGAGATGCCTGACTTACCCCGAATTGAAGGACTTTGTTTACCCGGGAAAGCTTTTGCAGATGCATTGATGGTTATTGAGTTTATGCACAATTTTGGAAAAGCTTTGGGAATATGTAAGCTTTTCTTTTACTTACAAATCGCTTTGTAACTTTTGATTATGTAGGTTTTATTATTTAAATGTATTCTTGTGATTGCCTTGAAAAAAATTTGATTCCTTAAATATAATCAATTAAAAAGAAAATGTTTAATTTTAAATATGCATTTTGTTAATACAGGTATAATTAATATGCATTTGATTAGTGCACTAAAATTTTTATATATCAAAATTTGATTAGTGCAGTAAAACATTCTTTAGTTTAACCATAGTAATTGAAACAAAATTTTTTATAGTCACCAATGTACACACTAATCAAGGCATTCATGTACTAGTTCCTTTGTCCTTGACACACTCTGTTTAAAATTCTATGATTGCTGTCTGATAATTTTATTGTATATGAAACATATCAAATAGGAACTTCATAATATCAATAATATGCAAAACAAGTTTGTGTTTTTGACAATGCTATTAAGTGATAACTTTATTGTTATCTATATCAAATGTGTGATGTATTCAGTGTAAATAATAATAGTTCTCTTGATTTTACTGCACACCTTGGGAGACATACAACACAGATTTTGTGTGTATGTATGTATATATCCACACATCACATTGAAACATCAGTTCTTGTCTGATCAGTGAAGTTAAGCAATGTTAAGCCTGGTCAGTACCTAGACTGCTTGGGAATACTAAGTACTGTAAGCTTAGATGTGTAGGTGGTGTGATGGTTAATGGCTCGGAATAAAAAATCAGAGACAAGTTTGAATTCCAGTCAAGTTTGTTACATTCACTTACACATAAATACTCTTGGGAAAGATATGAATCTATCTGTTCTCCCCTCAGTTATGGGTTAATAAGAAAACAGACTGGAAACCTGTCTACTGCAGGAATTCTGCCAAAACAATCCCAAATCGAAAAGAGACATGCATGCAATAACAAAGATTGTATTTCACAAAGAAACAGTTGATCAGAGTATTTTTGGTAGATAACATCTTTAAGGAAAGCATTCTTTGTGGTAATAGTGAGAGATATCAAGAGGTAGAATATTAATAAAATGTTCACTTGTTTTTACTCTGTTTTATGGAATTACATTCAATCTTCACATTTGATTGTAATTTTTATATACAAGAATTTTTTTTGCAACATGCTGACATGTATTGAAATCCTCCCAGTTTTTAATATTGTTGAAGTTATTGCTAACATTTTTTGTCAAGATTTACAAACTCTACATTTTATTCAATTTCACAACCAATTTATGAAAATATAAAATCTTAAAGAAAACAGTATTTGTTATTTTAATCATTAAATTGGTTTTAAAATAGTGGTAGTATTTTGTATGTTAAATAATAAAACTTAATTTTTCCAAGAAAATGAATGCAAATTTATTGTACTAAGCTACGTACCCTAGTAAAACCAGCTGTACTTTGTACCCCCCTTGCCTGTTTGCAATTCTCCCAAAAATTTGGTTTTGATCATAACTAATCAAAATGTAAAATGTATGGCTATTTTAGAGAGTGTGATGGACAGATTAACAGATAATACTTTTGATTATTCTGTATACTTTTTCTGTAGTTGCTTTGCAACGTATATAATGTAAATTACTTTTATCTGGGTTATCAATCAAGTTACTGATCATAAATAAAAATAACTGCCAAACACACAAGAATTTGAAATAGATTGAACACACACACACACACACACAGTAGAGTTTAGTATTGTAAAGTATTGTCTGTTGTAAGTATCATTTTATAACCTTGCCTATTACAGGATGCACCAAAAATGTTAATTTATCTATAAAACATTTTCGATGTCGATATAAATGCATTAAAACAAATCGTTCAGAAATAAAAGAACGTAACAATAAAAATGTTGAATTGTAAATTCTAGTTTTACAAACTTGATGTAGGCTATTTACAGTAAACAAATGAAAATGGTTTCAGAATAAAATTGATAACTGATGGCAGAAAGATGGACATTGTCAAAAGATCCTATAATTCCATTGATATAAATATATTTTAACAAGATATGAATTTAATAATTCCATCATTGTAATTATGATCAATCTCTTTTTAAAAAAAAAGTATTCCCCAGATTGGATGACAAAGTAATTTATTAGAAGACGTTTTTATTTTTTCAGCTGAAGATGCCACACCAAGTTTAAATGATTTACAAAACTATTTGATGGGTAACACAAAAGATGACTTGGATAAGTATTTGAACTTTACCAGCAAACTCCTAAAAATTGCTCTAAGTGATCCAGGAGTACCCAACCCGAAAGAGGTAAGCAAATTATTTATTGAATCACTTAGGACTTCCTTATAAAAAAGTAAAATAATAAAATTTGAAAATACAGCTGAAATAGTTGTCTTAAAAAAATAAAAAAATAGGTATCTTCATTTTGTAACTTCACATTTAGGTTTAGTGTTATATTTAAACAGTAATTTAACTTGGTGTATAAGTTTTTAATTGGTGTTTAAATTTGCCAACTTTGTTGTGATTACTTATTTTTAGATGTTAATTTTCAAGGTTTAAATTAACCTGGATTAAAAGCTGACATGTTTTTTTTTTTTTTTCAGGCTCTCACAAAACTTGGGCAGAAGATAGTTGATATTGACTTGAATAAGAATGTGATCTCTGAAGTTTTGCGAATATTTGTAGTAGCTCGCAATGGTGGCAGTTGTCAGGTAAAAAAAAAAAGCTTTGTCAGCATAATCTCAACATTTATTTATTAAATCATAAGTAAACAAATGTTTCAGAATAACATGCATAGATTTACTTTTTTCTATTTAAAATATTGTAATTGAGTTGAGATAGAAATTATTTAAATATTTTACTAAAATAACATGTTTATTTTTAAATATGACAATGCTGATGTCACTTTTCAGACGTCTCTAAAAACTTAAATATTTATTTTAACTTCATGTACACATTAGACAATTGGTCTTTATCATCTCTTTCTGTACCTCTTTCACATAAGGGTATATATATATATATATATATATATATACACACACATTTTTTTTTCTTTTGTAGATCAGTGATTGGTTATCTGAAAAACCACTGAAAGCTTTTAATCCAACACAGAAATCAACTGTTTTAGAGTTTTTATGCAATGAACTTCTCTGTGGTAGACTTCTCACAAAGTAAGCAGTTTTAAATAGAACTAAATGTGAAATCTAAAATTTTTAGTTAAATCTAAAATTGTACTTTAATTTCATGAACAGATATTTTGTGATATGGGTACAATCTTCAAGAATCTATAGAATGAATTCACTATTATGTTAAAATATTAACTTTATAAAATTCTATCTTGAAGCCATGGTCAGGTTTTGGCAGCAAGAAACTATTTACATTCTTCTAACTTTTATCTTCAATTCTTTGATGTTAAATTTTGACATGAAATTGTTTTTCAGTATATTTGTTAAATTTCATAACTGATTGAGAATATTAAAGAAAATTAAAACATCTAAAATAATTTTTTATGTACAATATTTGTCTGATTATTGAGTAAAGGTTATTTTAAAATTTTCTTTACAAAAATATATTTTTTGAAGATTTTTATTTTGTAACATATTGAAAATGTTTGTTTCAGTGAAATTGAGAGAACAATTGAAGGAATGTCAACTTTGAGGAGAGACAAATGGATTGTTGAAGGAAAATTACGATATGGATGTTTTTTTTTTTCTGTTTTCATAATGAGATATATATATATATATATATATATATATAATATGGATTTCTCCAAAAGTGCTGCCTCCTATGTTTACTTATATTGTCAGAGGCGGGCATTTATTTTATAGTAGTAGAGGGCTGAACCATTCCACCAATATTTTTACTGTTACCTGTTGAACAACAGTGTGGTAAAATGGCATCTGATATGAATGTACATATGAAACAGATGCTTCAATCGAAAAAAAAAAAAAGAAAAAAAAAGATACCTGTTGACATTCATTGCTGGTTGCTAAATGCAGGCAGTTGGTAATACATTTCTGCAGTGTTGACAGTCAAAAGCCACATTCTGTCCACAAGCTGTCCAATTGTGAAATATTTATTGCTGATGAAAATGTATATCCAATGGTGGTGATTATAATATATTGTTTTTTGCTGAAAATTGGCTCTATCCAATGGTGTTATTATACCCTCTTGTTATTGTTGTAATTTTCATGAAAATAAATAGGAGGCATTAATTTCAAAGCACCCCTCATACATTTTTAATTATTAGTATGAGTAGTAATGTTATATTTATTAAATGAAGCCTTGTCAATTCTTATCAAATACATTTTCTGCTTATCTCATTTCTGTTAAATTATTGTAGCTTCAGCCAGAAGTCCTTCATCAGTCCCTTTTTTTTAAATGAATGATTTAAAATTTCTATCCTTAAATTTTGTTGTTGCCTCATTTCAACCCCTTTTTCTTTTCATTTCTTTTGACAAATGTTTTTCTGGAATTATTTCCCTAGTTGTTCAGTTTTTGTTTTTTTTGTTTTGTTTTTTTATTATGCAAGTAATAACTTGGTAACTACTTTTTCATTGCATTTTTACTAATTTCTCTTTCTTGTAGACTCAGAATCATTCAAGCAAAAAAGTACAACCGTCCATCTCCCAAAATCTCCCTCCAAGGAGGCTCATCCCCTCTGATGGATGAGGACAGCCATGCAACAAACGTGTCTGGAAGTAAACAGGGTAGTGATGAAGAAGATGATAGTGGCAATGACAGTGACATCACTACAGTAACAAATGTAGGTGTCATGTCAGAAGGAGAAGTAAGTAATGTAATGTCTTTTTCTTAATGTTAAAGCATAATCTATGTATGCAGCACAACTTTGTGTATATATATATATATATATATATATATATATATATATATGTGCATGTGTGTGTGCATATATATATCATGGCTGTTTAAAAGCCTTGTTTTTGTCATATAGGAAAATCCAACATGGTGCGTAAACCAAATATTCGGCAAAAAATCTCATTCGTCAGTAACATTTTAAACATCTCATAGAATGTAAAGTTCTTAAAGAAAACCTATGCCAAAGTGTTTTCCTGAATCCTTGATGACTTGGCTGTCCGAAATTGAGAATATCAAGATGAAATAATGGAAACTGACCGAGAAAAATACAATTATGTGCAACAGGTTTTCGATCGATCAGTAAACTTCTGGACCTTTTAGGGCGATGTTATAGGATCCAGACGGCTATTGTTTGCACATGGAATTATTCACTGGTAATTAATCTTCGATTTGGCTGTGGAAAATGTCACTCGGCAGTTAGCATTAAGAAATTACGCTGGCTGGCTGACCTTTGACCCAGATGTCAAAGTCAATTAGGTTTAATTTTCCTTATCGTTGCTATTTTTTGGAAAAAAAAAAAAAACTTTTGGTTTCTGGTGGTTAGGAATTGCATATAAATCTTTTGCCTTTTACTAAAGATTTCCGTGGCCTGGTGTCAATTTTTTTTAACCCTTGGCAGTCATATAATTGAAAATTACCAATGGATTTTGTCACATTTTGAACCCCTAGGAATGTTGATTTCCTTCAAAACTTATGCCTGAAATAGTTTGATTATGATTTAGGCTTTCTGATTTTCAAAAAAAAAAAAAAATGGTTAATTTCCCATTAATGGGGAAAATATTTGTTTAGAACAAGAAAAAAATGCAAAATTTTCACTATTTTTTCACATTTTACCCACTGAAAAAAATTTTGAGTCATTTACACCAGCCAATTTTACTTTTAAATGAAAGAATATATCTTTTGCTTTCAGAAAATACCTAGTTTTATGGGGTTCAGATCAAAAGTTTTCTTGATATTTGTTTAGGTGATGATAAAACAGTCATTTTTCAATATTTTATCCCCTATAAAAGTATGAAAATCCATTTTTTGAGAGAAAGTAAGCTGTGACAAAA